CGATTCGGAAGTAGAATCTCTTTCAGATTCGTGTGAAAATATTTTAGAAAAAATGCGAGAATTAATACTCACTCCGGTTTCATCGTAAATTAAAATACCGTACACGACAACCGTACATTGTACTCAAAATTCGGATATTCCCACGATTACAACTAATAGTTCATCTCACTCGCTTAGAGTAGTAGGAGTAACGGTAGCGAATTTGGTCTCCTTTTCACAACCAACTCACATTAGTCAGTCAAGTAGGTTCCCAAATCGTGCGAAATAATTATTTCAAACATCTAAATCGTGTATAGTATCATCGGCTATTCAAAAGCCATGTTTTGATTATAAATTACCCGCATATCAGGCAAATTTATTGATCAAGGGCGATGAACAACTTATTGACTTAGATGGGAATTATATGAATTGATTCCATGTGGTTCAAAAGAGTCAACTCTGAAACCAAAAATATAGTTTTAGTTTTAGTCTTTTTTTAGTGTTAGTAAATATTCTAGTTTCAGTTTTAAATCAAATTAAAAGTTTAGTTTAGTTCTAGTTTAAGTTTTAATTTAAATTATAATTTTAGTTTCTACTTTAGTTTTAGTCTGCTTGGGATTCCGTTCACGCAGTGAACCGAAACGGGTCCCTTATGGTTTCACTCATGTCCGTCCACAAAATCCTATCCCCACTTCAAAATCTAGCCATTTTAACCGATTAGGCTTAAACTTAGTATTCATACATATTTTTGCAAATAAATTAAAAGAAAATTATAGCGAATCCGATTGAAATTGAATTGAATATAGTTATATTCCAAAAACTCAAAATTTTGGAATAAAGTGTGACCCTCCTTAACTTTCACAGTTTTGGAGCTACGATGCTCAAATTTTGTATACATACGAATTTTTGAGAGTAGATTAATAGAAAATTATAACGAACCCGATTGGAATTGAATTGAATATAGTTATATTCCAAATATTCAAAATTGCTGAAAAAAGCGTGCCCCCCCGTCTTAACTTATACAGATTTAGAGTTAAGAAGCTGAAACTTGGTACACATATTTAATTTCACGTGTAGACTTCATGAAAAATATAGCTTGAAATTGACTTAAATATTGCTTTGCAACAAAAAATCAAAAATCCTGAAAAAACTCCAAATTCCTTTTCATCTTAACCTTCGCGCTACCGGGAGCCACCTAGGGTGACCCAGCGTCAAAGAATGTTTAAAATCTACTCGAGTTTTGCATCAATTACTACTTTATATAACTATTTCTAAAATACATTACTTGTATTTATTTACATACAATTATAATGAAAAATCTTGATAAGTATACAAAGAACGTCGGTAGCGCGAAGGTTAACTTTAACAATTTTTTAGCCAACCATCTCAAACTTTGTACAAATATACAATGTATATCTTTACAATCAAATTAAAAGAAAATTATAGACAAATTATTTTTTTTAAATATATAAACATTTAAATAATCATGAACGGAACCCTAGGTAAGCGAGTATAACTCGCACTTGACCAATTTTTGGTAGTGGTATATGAGCAATTCCACGTGAGATTGAGGGGTCTATCCTTCGATTTCTTTTATACTACGTTTTTGGGTAGAGGTTATGGGTCTAATTGAGTAAAAAAAAATTTGAAAAAAAATATTTATTATTTTTCGAGATATTTGCATTAAAAAATTATTGCAACTTTCTTTTCAATTATTCATAACTTTTTCACTTTTAGTCCTAGCAAAAAGTTTCTTAAATGTTTTTTGCTCAGAAAATATTGAAATTTAAGAAAAAAAAATTAATTTAAAAAAATAAAATTAGTTTTTAATTTTTAAACTTGTTATTAAACTTATTATGTAATTTTCAGATTTTTGCTTGTATCGCGAAGCTGGTCTGAAAAGTGAAAAAAAATTATCAAAAGTTTGCATTTCCTTTCTTTCCAATGGAAATATAGTTTTTACACCTCTTTAATTCAACAAATGAATTTCCATTGCAAGAACCCTTCATAATTTCAAAATTTTTTGGTGGCTCAAACGTGACTCACGCGTCGTTTAGCGTCATATCACACACAAAAATAAACGCGTGATCCAAACACCATATTACGTTCCACATTTTTATATAACATCTTAATGAAAAATTTTTTTGTTGAGCGTACAGCATTGACTTACATAATACGTCTTTATTGTTCCCACACTTCGCTACAACGTATGTGAAAAGTTCGCTGACATTGCTAACAAATACTTATATTCAAAGACAGATGGATCTAGTGTGATAAAATAAAATAAACGCGATAGCTCAACCCTGACTACTCTCCCTTAATTAATTCTTTTTTTACTTTAAAAAAATTGTAAAAAAAATTATTTCCTCACCGCAACAATTTTTTTTGTCAGAAAATAATTTTTTTTGACAATTTTTCTCACTAAAAAAATTTAATTAACTAAATAAATCAATAATTAGTTAATTAATTTGTTTTACAGAGAAAAATTGTAAAAAAATATTTCCTCATCGCAACAATTTTTTTGGGCTAGAAATAATTTTTTTGACAATTTTTCTCTGTAAAAAAATTAATTAACTAAATAAATCAATAATTAGTTAATTATTTCTTTACAGACAAAATTTGCCAAGAAAAAATTATTTCTAGCCCAAAAAAGGTCGCTGGAAAAAAATATTTTCAACTTTTAGTCATGTGAGTGCACAAGTCGAATAGCTCTTCGAACCATAGCTTGATAAATTTAAATTTCAAATAATTATTTCTAAACATAAGAAATCATATAGGATTTCATGTAGATTCTGAAATATTTATATATAAGATTTCACATAGAATTATATAAAGGAAACAAAATAGGATTTCATATAGGAATTTTCAGTTGGCAGACGGCAGTTTATAAAAATTAAAAATTATTTAATTAAAAATCAAATAATATTACTGCAATTCATCTAAAAAGAAAAGAAATTGTGCTTTGCAATACACCTTCTGAGTTAGAGTCTCAGCTTTTATAGTATTCAGGACTGATCTCAACTGTGAGAAAAAAAATTAGCACCATCTGGCGGCGTAAGTGTGGAACTATGATGATATATATCTATATTTGAATTTCCCATATAATTTCCGACTTAGTGTCTTAGACGGACAATTAAAACAATGAAATCCACACATGACATCCCACATAAATTCCTATGTGATGAATTCTTACATGAAATCCTATATAGGATCCTATATAGGATTTTATATATGATCCTACATAAGATTTTACATGGATTTTCATATATGTATTTCTGTATGATGAATTCTTACATGAGATCCTATATAGGAATCCATATGAGTTCATACTATATAGGATCTCATGTAAAAATTCATCATACAGAAATATATTAAAAAAATCCATGTAAAATCTTATGTAGGATCATATATAAAATCCTATATAGGATCTCATGTAAGAATTCATCATACAGAAATATATATATGAAAATCCATATAAATTCTTATGTAGAATCATATATAAACTTCTATATAAAATCCTATATAGGATCCTATATAGGATTTCATGTAAGAATTCATCACATAGGAATTTATGTAAGATGTCATGTGTGGATTTCATTGTTTTAATTGTAAATCTAAGATACCAAGTCGGAAATTATATGAAAAATTATGTCGGAAATTATATAGGAAATTATATGGGAAATTCAAATATAGATGTATGTCATCATAGTTCCACTCTTACGCCGCCAGATGGTGCTAATTTTTTTTTCACAGTTGAGATCAGTCTTGAATACTATAAAAGCTGAGATTCTAACTCAGAAGGTGTATTGCAAAGCACAATTTCTTTTCTTTTTAGATGAATTGCAGTAATATTATTTGATTTTTAATTAAATAATTTTTAATTTTTATAAACTGCCGTCTGCCAACTGAAAATTCCTATATGAAATCCTATATTGTTTTCTTTATATAATTCTATGTGAAATCTTAAATATAAATATTTCAGAATCTACATGAAATCCTATATGATTTCTTATGTTCAAATCAATCATATATATGATCTCACGTGAGGATTTTCAATATGATTTCATGTCAGATTATTTGTAATAATTTTTTATTCAAGAATCGAAAAAAGATTTGATGTATGATTTGATATAGGAAAATTTCTGGTTAAGGATTGAGCAATGAATTTTGGTATGTTTTTTAGTGAGAAAACACGAAGGAAATTGACATAAGAAATTGAAGGAAAAAATGTGACCAGAAAAAATTGTAGGATTTCACATAGGAATTTACATAATTTATTACCTAAGAACACGTTTATAAGAATTTACATCGAATCCTACTTCAAATCATGTCTCAATTTCCTATATGATTTTTCATAGGATCCTATATAGTTTCTTACATGACACATAGGATTTTATGTGGATTTTAATATATGAATTTATGTGAGATCCTATATAAGATCCTATATGAGAATTTTTAGTAGGGTTCAATAACAAACTCAAGCGAAATGTTTATTAAAAATTATTTGCAATATTTTCTCTCTTAATGGATTCTCCGAGAAACTCTTCGGTCGCCACCAAATTTCAAATTTCATAATTGTATACATAAGCTGAGATTCAGCTCAAAGATAAAATCATTTTTCTTTTGCAATATTTTAACATTATCAAAGATTGTTTGTAATCAATCCATTAATAAAGTTAGCTTCTTCTGCATTTACAAATTATTTTTTTTTAATTATTAATTAATAAATAGATTATTTAATTTTTTAATTAGGAATATGTGTTTGTCACGTGGTATGACGTCAGTGGCGCGCGAAAATTTAAAATTCAAAAAATAAAAAATCTAATTAAAATGTATAAATAAACATTATAATTCTTTTTTAAATTGATTCAATTAATTTTATAATACTTGTTTAAGGAGTTTGATTGTGGCTTTCGAGCTGAACAGACGTGTTTATTTTCGCTCTATTTGTTTACACGTAAGATAGTCGAATAGTGATATGTCTGAACATTTTTCCTTTTTTGGATAATAATTTTTGAACGATGGCTACAAATGAAGATTTAATGAAGTTGCTTTTGGAGATAAAAGTGGACGTCAGTGCCAGTAAAGAATCGATTTCTAGTGTAGTTTCTGAGATCTCAAGTTTGAAAAGTGACAATAAAAGGTTGTTTTCGAACTTGGAAGATTGTAAGGACGATTACAAGAAATTAAGGATTGAAAATCAACAACTACAGAAGAGATTGGTCCAGGCGGAACAATCAATACAGTACCTACAAAAAAAAGATAGGGAGAAAAACCTCATTATGTTTGGTGTCGAAGAATCTGAGAATGAAGATTTACTAGTTAAAGTGCTCAGTGTTTTCTCTTCAACCGAAATTAACATTGAAAAGGAGGACATTCATTCCATCAAAAGACTTGGATTTAATCGAGGCACCAGGCCTCTTATGATACAGTTTAATGCTTTGCAACCGAAAATCTTGATTTTCATAAACGTAGTTAAGTTGAGAAACTTGAATCTGAGTGTTACCAACGACCTTTCGAAGGAACAGCGAATGGAACGCAAGGAGACTCGTGTGAAACTGTTTGATTGTAAACAGAAACTCTATAAACTCGGTATAAACGCTCAAGTCAAAAATACAAAGTTGATTTGTGAAAACCAAGTGTATAGTATACAATCAGCCTTAGAGTACATTCAATTGCTCAATAAGGAAGGAAATAATCAGAGGGAAGATGTCAGTGATTCGGATAGTACGGAATCGGTCAATTCCATTGCGTCCACCGCCAGTAAGAAGAGAGGGAGACCTCCCGGTTCGAAAAGTGACCCCCTGAAGAAAATCAAAAAAACAGGAAAGGCTTCAGCATCTCCTTCTACAAGCAGACTGAAGGACTTTTTTAAAAAGAATGGAAATAACTTGAACAACGAACCGAGAAGTAATAATAAGGATTGACAACTCAATCAGGATTTCTCTCCCAGAATTATATTCTGGAATACCAGGGGCCCCAAAAATGTCACGGATCTTTTGGAAAATTCAAGCAGCAGAGACATCCTATGCTTTACGGAAACTTGGGCGATCTCTCTTCCCAGGTTAAATATCTCCCACCAAAACTACCAAGCGGAGACAATTTTTTCATCGGCACAGAAGAGCGATGGAAGGGGCAGACCCAAAGGAGGATTGCTGATACTTCTGAATGCGCGCTACTATAAGGTAGAAACTTTATATAAAAGCAATTCTTTTATTTTTATTATTGTTCGCGTTAAGGGGGGCGCCTACTTTAGAATGTAAAAAACTGCGTACATTTCATAAATTTTTTTCTCAAACACATTTAAATAAATCGATGCGAGATTTATTTAGTGTATGTTTTCTTATATATTTAAATCTTTGAAATATAATTTTTTGATTAAATGAAAATAAAATTTAATAATAAAATAAACGCCATATATGTAACGTCTCGCTGCTGAAATTTTCCCATTGCGTACAACCTAGGGTCCACAATTCTTATCCAAAACAAAAAAACAAAATTTTTTCTTTAAATATACATTATTGCCTTCTGTATGAATTAAAAGATTTCAATAGAAAGTAAAAACTGACATTTTTACATGACTTTTAAAAAAAAATTTAATTTTCGCCAAAAAAATCTCATTTTTTCTTTAAAAAAAAGCACTAAATTTAACTCTATCAAAAACAAATTTAATTCATACAGAAGAGACACTTTTTATCTTCAAAACAAGCCCAGGTAGACCTTAATCGGTTGATTAGATTTTTGTCTATCGTGTACGCAAACTACAAAAACAGTGTTTTGAGAAAAACGAGTTTAAAGATTGAAAAACATATAAGTGCTGTTTTTTAAAAACTTACGGCAGTCACAGGCCTCGATGAACGACTATTTTTTTATGGGTAGCTCTTAGATAAGACGACATTTTACTGATAAATGGTAATTTTAATGGTAGATGTAATAGTAGATAAGCGCAACAAATTATGAAAAGTATTAGAGACCGCGAGTAGATTCGCGCGCCAGGCCACGCGCTTTATTGCGTTCTACAAGCTGTAACTCGAAAAATACTTTGTATTTTGACATAATATTTTAAGAGCATATTCTCTGATAGTTGTTCTTTCAGTTAAGACAACTTTTAAAAAATCGATTTTTTTGACCCGATAAAGTAGGCGCCCCCCTTAAGAAAAATAATTTTAAAATTATAGGTCTTTTATATTTTAACCCTACTTCGCTTATCTCGAATAATCTAGATTCGTTAAATGAAATAATTTTTAGTTTGAATAATAATTTCATAGACACCTCCATTTTTATTGGGGGCGACATGAATTGTAGAGTAGGGGATCTCAATCAGATAGATGTAGATATAAATTTACTAAACAACAATTTAACTAATTTTCGAATGAGTTTGGATCTTAAAAAAAATATCAGAGGAATAAAACTGACAGAAAGCTTTGAAAGTATGGGTATGATTTTGTTAAATGGCAGAGTTACAGGAGATTATCCAGCAAATTATACATTTACTAATTCAATGGGGGGTAAATCCATAATCGACCTAATTTGGACAAATCTTTTCAGTACTCATTTGGTTAAAAATTTTAAAGTATTAAATATGGTCTCAGACCCGGATCATTTTCCTGTGGCTCTCTCATTGAATATCGCGACCGCAGTAGAATTTTCAAAAATTAAATTTAAATGGAGAGAGAATCTCGAAACCGAATATATGGAAGCAATGTCGTCGTCCTTAACGCCCGCGCATATTGATGATAATCTTGATTTTTTGGCTGAGAATTTAATAAATACAATAAAAAATGTTGCCAAGAAAGTGGGTATGGTTTCAAATGTAAATAATAAAGTGTGTTTATCTAAACCTTGGTTCGATAACGAATGTAAGGAGAGCAAAAAATTTTTTAAAAAAATGTTAAAAGAGTGCAGATACCAAAAATTCCCCCCAGATAAAACTAAGGAATATAATAAGTTTAAGAAAATTCATATAAATTTAATTGAAAAAAAAGAAAAGTTTATAATGAACACAAAATTAATATTTTGGCTTCAACAAAAAACCCGACCTCGTTCTGAAAAATAGTGAATAACTCTCGACGTAAACCAGGCATTCCGGATCAGATTGGCTTAGATTCATGGGTCGATTTCCTTGAAGAATCTTTTCCTTCTAGAAATCCTGATTACTATTTCCTAAATGATCCTGACATTAGTAATGAAATTATGGACGCTGTTATTACAAAAAGGGAAATTATAAAATGTCTTAATAAATGCAGATTAAATAAAGCCCCAGGACCGGATGAGATCTCCTATGAGTTTCTAAAGAGCCTGCCTGAAAGTGGGATTGTTTATATTGTAAAATTATTCAATAAAATAATGATCGAGGAGAAAATTCCGAAAACTTGGGCAGATATGGATACAATAATGATTCATAAAAAAGGAGATATTTTCGACCATTTGAACTATAGACCAATTGCTTTGTTAAATTGTGTCCTAAAGTTTTTCACGCAGATTCTTGCGAATAGACTTAGTATTTGGATTAAGGCGAACGATTTGATTCCCGAATCTCAGTCAGGTTTTAGAGAAAAAAGGAGTTGCTTAGATAATGTATTTGTTTTAAATGCAATGATACAGAATAGACTGAGGTTGGGGAAGGGGAAGTTGTTTGTTTTGTTCATTGATTTTAAAAGAACGTTTCCATCTCTGTCTGACTATTTGATAAAAAAGAAGTTATACTCATTTGGGGTAGGATCTAAATTCATAAAAATATTATTGAGTTTATATTCAAGGGCGAACGTTTCGGTAAAGGGAAAGGAGGGTAAATCTGACCCGGTAGAAGTTACTGAAGGAATCATGCAGGGAGAAACATTAAGTCCAATTATTTTTAATTTATATATATCAGATCTAGAAGAATATCTAATTAATAGGGGGGTAAGAGGGGCAGGGTTGTCAGATTGGGCTACAAAGCGCGATGTGGGCTATTTTTTGGGAATGTTTCGCGGCTTAAATTTCAGTTTCGCTACAAGTAGCAATTTGGGCTATTTTTTCTTATAAAATTGCTTTTTTGGGCTATTAGGACATTTTTTTTAACAATACTAGAAAATCGAATAGTAAATCATTAAAAGTATGAAAACTGTATGATAATAATAATATTGATAATATTGATCAACGATATAATTGGGTATCACAAGTCAAAGCAATTTTCTTCGATAGTATTGGAGTTGAGGATGTCTGGAAGGCCTTATCAGCAGAGAATTTAAGAAAGAATAGAAGTCAATTATTGAAAAAATTTGAAACCTTTTTAGTTAATAAAGATTTAATAAGACTCCAGACTTCCTCCTCTCTAAAATTATATTCGCACTTAGCATTGTATGACGGTCTTCAACCGTATTTAAAGTCGAGATTGCCTCTCCCTTTAATAAAGATATACGCACAGTTTAGATTATTAAACACGTTGCAAACTAGGATCATAACGAATAATAAATGTTTCAAGTTTACTAAAGAACAAAACTGTAATTGCGAAGAACGAAGACCGATTTACGACGAACATCACCTCTTTATAAACTGTAAGGCCCTCTCTGAAATTAGAAAAAAATATATTGTATGTGCCGACGAAGATGAGCAGACTAGTGTTTGGTTAAATGTGTTAAATGACAGAAATCCGTCATCAGTCAGAAAAGTTGTTAAATTTATTCAGGAAATATTAAATTGTACATTTTTAGAATAGGCTACGAAAAAAAAAAAAATTGGATTGTAAGAATCAAACTCCTTTGTATGGATTTATGAAAATCCTTAAACAAATAAATATAATAATAATAATACTTGTTTAATAATTTTGTTTGTCAAATTTCTTCGAGAAAAAAATTAATTAACTAATTATTCAATTAATAAGCTAATTAATTTCTTGCCAAAAGAAAATTTTACGATGAGGAAATATTTTTTTTGTTTAATTTTCTCTGAAGAAAAATTATTTAACTAATTATTCAATTAATAAGCTAATTTATTTTTTTCAACTAAACATATGATAAAAAGATTATTTCTAGCTCAGAAAAAAATGTTATGCTGAGGAAATAAATTTTTTTCAGTGAAAATTTAGAAAAAAATTTACTGTTTTCGTTTGATTTTTTCTTTGTGAATGCAGTAAATAATTTCAAAAATTTAATAGTAAGCATACCGAACCATTAATTTCTGCTTTATCTACACCAAAGATTATTAATGAAAGATCTATTTCCCTGGGAGTTATCATCATCTTAATCTTTTGTTTTCTAACTATCACAAAAGCGAAAACCTTTGGCGATAAAGTTTTGTATTTAATTGTTTTTAAAAATCTTTTTATTTTAAAATATACGATGTCGAACAACCGATCCAGAAGTGAAAGTACGTATAGTAAATAGTATTAATAATTATAATAATTTTAAAATTCCCTTTTTTCAACAAAATATTGACTAAAGTTATATTTTCAGAATTTGAATCATAACCTTAAAATTTAATTGTTTTTTCTTAATTTTAAAGAATGAAAAAAAATATACAATACAAAAAAATATAAAAAATTTGAATAAATTAAAAATATTGTTACTTATATAATTATTAATTGATTGACAGATGATACGCAAGACCGAAATTCGCGGTCACAGACGTCTCAAGAACCTAATTAAACCACCAATTCACATTCGCCTTCAGTTTCTTCACGGCCATCGTCTCCTATTTCTTCACGTCCATCGTCACCTCCAGATTCACCAGCAGCCTCTGATATTTATGGGTGATTCTACAAACGAAGAACGAAAATAAAAAAAATATGAACACAACATTTTTTCTCATTTATGGTCTGAAATATACTTTAAGTTCAAGTTAATGATACGAATCCGATGTCAGTTTTTCAAAATTCAAAATGTCGGATCCAATATGGCGCATTTTTTTCAAAACGTTCAAATTTCCTTTAAACTCTTTACTCGTCGGC